AACATTATTAGAATCTAATATAGATTAAGGGGGTCGACTGGATGGGTTAACCATCAGATTTTCGACAGACCCTTCTTCTTCTTCTTCTTCTTCTTCTTCTCTTCCTGCTCGGACTACTGTAGCAGCAGTCTAAAAGCATGCCTCCTGTAGTCTTAGAAGTTGGAGCATAGTTGTTGTACCACTAGGGTTAGCTGGTCCTTTAAGTTGTAACATTATAATTTTGTTGTGGCCAAAAAACAGACATATGAGTGTTCATCAAGTAAATAATAAGCTTAACATGTCAGACATGCATATTTGCTACATCAAAAACACAATGGAGACCAAAATGATCATTGATGATAGCATATGCTTAGATGAAATTAGAACAATAACATCAATCATTTAGAAAATGAAGAAGAAACAGAAGCAACTTTTTTTTATGAATACAGTAAATTTCATTGAAAACCATCATACTACACAAAAACAGTGCAGTAGGCAAATGGGAACAAAACAGCTCACCCCTTGTATATTACAGCTCGGGCTTGGGCATCCCTGTTCTAACTCATCTTGCCCCATCCCAGCTCTAGCCTGAGTCTGCCAATACATTAGCACTCCTATGCACCCAATTGAACGAGGTATTCAAAGAACCACCTAGAGATTGAGCCAGTCTCACTAGAAACCTGAATTTCTATGGACTTTGGTCTTGCAATTTCATCCAGAAAATGATGGTTTGACAGTCCCCTTTCACTTCCACCTTCCTGGCTTCCTCAAGCCTTGCATTAATTGTTCTAGACCTTGATTTAGAGCCAAAAACTCAGCTATCAGTGAATTGCCTTGACCAGCCAGCCCTGTATAGCTAAGAAGGATGTAACCATTATCATCCCTAACAACATCCCTAACACCAGGAGCCCCTGGATTTCCTAAAGAGCACCCATCAAGGTTAAGTTTTACTGACCCCGTTTACTATTCTCTGCTGCCTGCTGTTTTGAAAACTAGCCACGATCTGTCATCCCCTCAATATGTCATTAAGGAATCTCCTTTAAAATCTTCACATGTTATTTCTCTATGAGCGGCCCTAATTTTTGTGATCTCAAACAGATCTTCAACTGTTTTTTTTGATCAATAACTGTGGATTGAATTAATATTAAAAATATGAGAAAATTATAGGGCAAGGGGGCTAAACAATCTTAGCTCCCAAGAACAACCATTAAACATCAAAAGAACAAAAATTACAAGACAGCCCAAAAAATAGAATGTCTGTTCACCCCTTGTCTATCTAGACCATCTGCCAAAGAGTTCGCACTTCGTTTTACCCACTTGTATTGGATTTCCATGTCCTTAGTCAGCCACTTGAATTTCCTCTTTTCATTACTGTAATTCCAAAGTCTAAGACTATCCTCTTTCAGCCAGTTTATCACCACTTCAGAATCTCCTTCTATGATCAGCTTGTTAATATGCATATCCTTGATTCTTTGTACCCCTTCAAGAGTTGCAAGAATCTCATCTCTCAAAGAACCTCCCACCCCAACTGGTCCAAAATACATAGCTAACAGCTTCCCTTGTTCATCTCTTATTACTCCTATTCTGGATGGCCCTGGATTGCCCAAGTTGCTGCCATCAAAGTTCAGTTTGAGAAAGTCATGGGGTGGGGGGATCCAACAAACATTTGAGATCTTCCTCACTGGAACAAGTTCTGCTATCTCCTTCCACTTTCTTTGCAGCTCATCAACTGAGAATTCTGCGAACAGAGCCAAGGTTTTCAACCAGTGTATAACCCTAATGTGGATGACCTCCAGCATTGCTTCCAAACTTCTCTCCTTATCTGTAAATATTCATGAATTTCTCTCCTCCCAAATAGTCCAACAGACTGCAGCCCTCATACACCTCCACATAAACTTGGCCCTTTTTGTTGGCCGAAACGGTATAAATGTGAATAGGCTTTGCACATTCAAAGGGGGGTCCACCTGCACCCAAACAAAGAAGTACACCACTCCCAAATGATGTTAGTGAACCGACAAGAGATTAGTAAGTGATATCTAGACTCACCATCAGCTTTATAGAGGACACACTAGTGAGGACAAAAACAACTATTGGGTCTTTTCCTTTGAAGTAAATTTGCTGTGTTAACTCTTTCCAGAAAGGCTTCCCAACAGAAACTCCCAACCTTAGGAAGTATAGGATGACACCACACCTCTTTAACAGGGAAAGAAAAGCCAGAAGAAGAAGAATGTGTGAGAGCACTAAAGAAAGAGGCACAAGTGAAAGAACCAGAGGGGGTGAGAGTCCAAATTCTACTATCTGCATTTGTTGGCTCTAGGAATACCCCTTCAAGAATGGATAACAGTGATGAGATACCATCAAGCTCTGTGTCCCTGATATCTCTTCGCAGGCCCAAGCTCCAGTTGACCCCTGAAATAGAATTAGAAGGAACAATGAATGAAGACACCTATATATTTTTAAAAGTGGAAAGGGCAAAAAGGCTTGGGAATTGGTCCAAACATGTTCCCAAAAATTAATGAGATTGCCTGAGTGCAAGTCATACTTGATCCATGGAGAAAACAAAGGTAGAATAGCTTGAATAGCTTTCCAAGGATATGCTCTTGTACTCCTTGCCAGAATCCCAGAGTCCCATCCATTTGCTGCAACCCCATGAATACTTCCCACTATTCACCCAAAGTTTGTCCTTCTCCAATGAGAACCTCCAAAGCCATTTCCCCAGAAGGGCCAAGTTCCTATTCCTTATGTTCCCGATACCCAAACCTCCTTCCCTCTTACTCCTACAAACCATTTCCCACCCCACCCTATGGTCCTTCTTCTCCTCCCCCGACTCCCAGTGAAAGTCTCTCATTAGTTTTTCTAATCCACTAGCCACCTTTGTCGGAATCTTGAAGATTGACAAAAAGTAAACAGGAAGGTTAGCTAAAGTAGACCTGATTAGAGTGGTTCTCCCTCCAAGAGACAAATAATTTTTCTTCCAAGTTGCTAATTTCTTTTCAAACCTCTCCACAACCGGAACCCAAAACTCACCTTTCTGAGGGTTATCACCCAATGGAAAACTGAGGTAATTAAGGGGCCAATTTGCTATTGCACATTCTAAGATGTCTGTAGCCTCAGAGATCTCCCCCTTGCCCATATTTACCCCAACTATACAGCTCTTCTCAAAATTCACCTTAAGGTTTGACATTTGCTCAAAAAGTCGTATAGTGAGCTTCAAATTTCTAATCCCGTTAGGGTTCTCTGCTTCACAAAAGAGTGGTGTCATCTACAAATTGCAAATGTGTGAGTGGCACAAGCTCCCTCCCAACAGATCTTCAACTTTCTTATAATTCTCTTCAAAGATCTTTGCATTTCTTTCAATCCACAACCTCCATAAGACAGCCCCTCACTAAAGAATTCAGATATCATTAAAATAAATCTTGTTAAAAGGATGAGACCTCAACACAAGGTGGAGGCCCTGGAGGGCAACACAGCTTCTGTGGATCAAGAGTTGAGGGCCCTCTTAGACAGAATAACTATTGCTGCTCCTGCTTATCATATGTTCATCTCTAGTATCTTCATCTGCGAGCAGAAAGGATCCCAAAGGACAGGTCTGCTGGATCTGAGCTTATGAGCCTATTGGAGAGTGAGACCCAGCCAAGTCCCAGCCATGCCCCAGCCATGTACCTATTGGTTTCCAATATTGACGACACCACCATTATTAACTGAATCTTCACAGCTTACCTGCACCAAAATTCCTCCTCTTCTCCCAAGAGCAAAGAATCAGGGAATGATGGTTTTATAGATTTGGAATTTACTAAACCCCAAAAACAATCAGTTATGATTTTTCAATTGATACCAGTCTAATGACTCTAATGGTTAGTTTCTATTTTACAAAGCCATACCTTGAGGTGCAACATAAAATTGCAATTTGAAGCCTGAGCCTTTCACTTAGAGGTTGAGGCTTATTGAGGCAAGGCAAATTGGCCTCAGCTAGCCTTGAGGTGTTTGCATTTTGCCTCACCTCAAGTGCCTTTTAGAACCATGATATAAACAGTCTTCTCATGAAGGAATGGCAGCAACCTTCTTTGTTCTGAAAAACAAGCAAGTGAAACCATGACAGGCGGGAGTTCCAATTTGTTCTTACTACCATGTCTGATCCTCTTGTAGTTGCTAACTACAGATAGAATATGATCAAGTTTTTAATCCAACTAAAGAAACTGATGATGGGAAGATGTTTTTGCTTAGATTACAGTTTCAATTTAGCAAATTTCAAATTTCATTTTGCAGATTCGCTGATATAGTTTATTTGGGTTTTTAAAATTGATATTGTGCAAATGCTTACATGCCATTAGCAACTCCTTTTTCTGATGGATATAAAGTCTTATAAACTTTTCCTTTTATAGGGTGGTGCTTTGAGATCTGAGAGTTGGCGATCCAATCTAGATCTTCTTTTGATAACAGTGGCAACAAATGCATATGATGGGGAATGGGCCAATGAGGAAAAGGGCATTTCTGTCTTGTCTTTTGAACCAAATTGTACGTGGGCAGAGTTCCAGCTTGCTGCATTACGTGCACTTTTAGCCTCTTTTCTTTCCCCATCTCGTGTTCGGCCTCGATATTTGTCCGATGGTCTTGAACTCTTTCGTAGAGGTAAACCATCTATCATGTAACTGGATACCCCCCCCCCCCTTCTCTCTCTCTTAACTTGCAAAACTGCTAATAGATTGTACAGGCAATTTTGGAATCTTACTGTCAACTAAGGTCAGGGAAGTACTTATTTGAGTTTTCCTTTTGTTGAGAATTTGTTTCAACTTAGTACTTGTTTTGAGACTTTGTAACCTCATGCTGATTCCTGAGATTGAGGGTCACTACCCAATTTAGTCCAGGCTAACTGGGATTTTGGGAAGGATGGACTGGATACAGACCAAACCTTTGGCATTTTCTTGCATGAAGTTGGTGCTCTTAAACTCAAACTGGGTTCCCGTACTTCTCAGCCTGAGCTTTTATCATTGCACCAAGAAGTGCCCCCTAACTTCATCCTGGGATTACCTCCCTAATATATATATAGTATTCACAAAAAGAAAGTCAAAGCATGGTATTTTGAACAGTCAAATAAAAAACACATGTTAGTTAAAGCAATGACTGATTGTTGCCTAGGCAACTTCTTGAGGATTTTCAGGCCCCCAGCTATCACTAGTAGTGCAACCTGGACCCAGGTTGATCAATAATCGAAATGTTCAAACTAATTTGTTGGTCTTTTGAGTGAGTCTTGTTTGTTATGTTATAAATGTTCATGAATAATACATGGATTTTTCCGGGGTTTAAGCTTCAGCTTTTTTTTTCAGTTCAGTACATTATTCTCACCACCTGTTTTGTGCAAAAATGCCAAGGTTAGGTCCACATACAGTCCATCCCTCCCAAACCCCAGTCATGGGGCCAATATTGTGTCATGACCTTTATATTACTCTTACGATCATGTTTATTTCTTTTTATGCTTTTGCCCCTCCCATATAGTTTTGTATACACAAAACAAAAACTGAATGGAGAAAAAGGTTCAGACCACATAATGGAGATTATTTGACTTTATTGTTTTTAATGTTTTCCTTGGAATTTTGAATAACTATTTTTAGTTTGTTGGGGGTAACTACTAGGAACATGATTCCAAGGAGCTTACATAATAGCACCTAGATAATGATAGTGGGGTTAAGCAAGTGGTTTTTTGTGGCTGGTGCAATCCATGAGGGAGGAGAGAAGAAAGCAATGTAGCTTGGAGTTTTGGGTATTTCTCTTCATGCTTGGAGCTTGAGCACATTTTAGGAGACTAGTAATCGTGCATGTGCTTTGTACGTGGCAAATTTAGATGATGATGATGATGATTATAGTAAATAATATGTTTCCAAAATTTTCTACAATTTTTTTATGTTTTTATGTCCATAGCAATTTTTCTTATTTGTCACACTTATTTTTGTTTAATATGATGAACATATGATATTAAAGAAATGTCCAAATGTTTTCAACAATTTCTTTTTGGTATTTTTTATACGTTTGTGTGTTTTCATCTTTTTAACTTATATTATTATCTAATTATGACATCGAGGGTTGACACATTTTCACCCAAAAGGTTGAATTATTGAGTCGCCACCAAACAGGAAAACAACTCCATTTTTGGGTTGAATTCAAATTTGTATTTTATTTCTATCATAAATAAAAACAAGGGTACAAGACTTAAACAAACCTTGAGTTTTCATAACGTACCTTGTGTTTTCAAATAGACTTAAATATACCTTGTGGGCTGACCCCGATGGACTTAAACATACCCTCTATCAGTGAAACATCAAATGTGAACTAGACCTATTCATGGGCCAGGTAGCTCGATGGGCCAGCCCGGCTTGACTTGTTCTAAGTCGGGCTTGGACATAATTTTAGGCCCACGGGCTTGGACTTGGACCTAAAACAGTCGGGCTCGGGCTTTCTCAAAAAATCCTGGCTAGAGCCCAATCCCAGCTTGATAATATATATTAAATAATGAAAAACATAATTTATTTAATAAAAAAATATATATGATATTTTTCTTTGTTCCTCTTCTCTTTTTTCAAGTAATAATGAGATCTTTTATTATTTTTGACTTTTACGGGTTTTTAATATAAATAAAACACTTCTTTATTGAATAAAAAAAAAATTGATTTCAAATTTCTAGTCGGGCTTGGGCTTCAGCCTTTATATGAGGGTTTAGCTTGGGCTCGGGCTTGAATATATTCTGTTGATACATAGACAAAGCCTGGACTGACCCGTGAACAGGTCTAATGTGGACTCATTTAAAATTTTTAAAATCTTTTTTCCCCTTTTGCGTACATATGAGACCTAACTTTACATTTACATTTTTTTTCTTTGATGACTGGAGTGATGTGGGGTTCCTTTATGTTGATGCTTCTGCATCCATCCCACATTTAACTTAAGACCCTTCTTGTAACTCTCAGGCCTAGCACTGGTAAAGTATGGGTGCCTTCCACATCGAGGCTGACATGGTATAACCCATTGGTATTCCTCTTCAAAGACTCTTCCTCTGCAACCACTGATAATTGGCTCGAATCTCGTGTTGTCGCTTCCATGGTGGCGCTGCTCTATAAGCCCAATAGATTCTTGGAGTTCAATCAAGTTAACTAAAAAACTTAAACACGAAGTTGAATGTGCAAAGGTGTCATTTAAGATTAGGCGACAAAGGAGAGTAGATATGGATTGGTCCCATCTTAGATGCCTAGATCCAGCAAGTGGTAAGAGAGAGGAAGAGCTATAAGAGAAAGGGGAAGAGAGAGAGAGAGATGAACCCTCAATAACCTTTCTTTTGTCCAAGCCTTGGGATTTCCATTTCAGGGCTTTATCTATACTTTCATATGTTTCTCTTTGTATATAGTGAGTAGCGTTGTAAACTCCAATGGCTGGAGTGATGTGGGGTTCCTTAACATGTACTTGCCATCTCCAGAGTTGTGGAGGCCATTGGAGCCACCCCAACTGTAAATGCCTTGTTAATGCTTAGGATGCTGGTTTTATTTGATTCCGTAGGAGTTTGAAAAACTCAAGGTATATTTTGAAAATTTGAAAGAAAATAAAGGGTAAAAGAGTCACAAGGTGTATTTAAGTCTTTGAAAATCTTAGGGTACGTTCAAGTCAATTTATGAAAACTTAGGGTATGTTTAAATCTTGTACCCTAAAAACAATTATTCCTTGTCACACTTATTTTTCTTTAATATGGTTAATTAATATAGGGTTCAATGAAAATGGGAGTTAATACCTTAAATATAAGACTTAATGAGAGGGAATTAAATGAGGAGAAATATAGTAGTTCAAATTGCATTTTGTGTTCTCACAGTTAGAATGAGACTAAATTCAAAAATAGGGGTATTCTAGTCAAGAATATGATTCAACGAATGTCAATGGGAGTTAATACCTTAAATATAAGACTTTATGAGAGGAATTTGAATGAGGAAAAAAGTGGTTGTTCAAATTACATTTGTGCCCTTACAATTAGAGAACAATCAAATTCAAAAGCTGTGGTATTTTAGTCAAATAAAAGTTCCACACTCTCATTCATACTTTTAATAGTAGTATAGATTGGACATAGATGTGGAAAATTTATTAAGTACAACAAGATGATTAGAACTTGGGAGGGTGATCATATAGAAATGGAAGAGGGGGATGATCCTCATGATGAGTGGTGCAGGTGTGGGGGTTATAGATGAAGGTAAAGAATTAGAGAGTGGGAGGGGGAGTAATGAAGATAGATTGGTAAAATTTCAGAAGGGGACAAGAGGAGAAAGCTTGGTGGAGAAAGAAGGGGAAGATGGTAGGACAAAACCTATTACAGATTTGGAAGTAGGGGAAGAAGATTCAGATGGAAATTCTCAAGTAGAGGAGGTATTGGTAGATGAAAACACACACTACAGGAATGGGATTGATTTGGAAGAAATGGTTAATAAGGAGGTAGAAGTGAGAAAAACCTTGGGATTTTTCTTCCTTGGGAGTGAGGAGTTTACAAGAAAATCATTTAGAGAACTAGGAGAAAACAGGGGACAACCTGAAAAGAAAAAAAAAAGTGATGGAGGAAGGAGAGGTGGGACAGGCTTGATGATAAAGGTGGTTTCTTAAAGGTCAGCTGGGTTTGTGGTCAGGGTGAGAGTTTGGTATCAGGTGGGAGGAGAATGTTGGTTTGGGGGATGTTTTTCCTTTCTTATTGGTGTTATCTTAGTACTATTTTTGTTCATTGTACTCTCACTCTAGTTCTTAATAAAATTCTTTTTTATTTATCTTCAAGAAAAATACTAGGGCTGTAAATGGGTTGGGTTTTGATTTGATCCAGCTACATCCAAATCCAATCTACTTATTGAAACTTCAAATCCAAATCTACATTATTGTCATTAAAATAAAGAAAGTTCTAAAAGTTTCTTTATTTTAATGACTTATACAAATTAATAAATTTATATAAATATAAAATATTGAATTTATTTTATATATGTAACTGCATATTTAAACAGATGGAATGGAGTCAAATCTGCATCCAATCTGATTTTTATACAGATGCAGGTTTTAACATCCAAGTTAGAAATCAGAAAAGAAAGAAGAACAGAGATGGAATGGAGGTTCAGACCTGTTTTGGCAAGAAGAAATCAGAAAAGAAAGAAAGAAAAGAGATGGAAGAGAAGAGAAGAAGAGAGGAGAAAAGAAAGAATAGAGAGAAAAGGGGTGCAGAAAAATCAGTCTTATCTGCCGCCCCAGGTGCTATTTATATTAGTCTTACAATAAAAGAGGTACAATGACAGGAATACCCCTGTCACTAGTAACAACAGTAAAAACACATGCTAACAGCAAGATGATCAGTAAAATATCATCAAGAAATAATGAAGAATAGGGACCACAAGCTAGTCAATCACTTTCTCTACAATCCAAATCTGAAATAACTGGTTCAGATGTTGTGTTGGCTTTGGACTTTCTGAGTTCATTGGTAGCTCCACCTAATACAATTGAACTGATTTCTGTTTGCCCCTTGTTTGGCTACAGCATCTTCCATGCTATTAGCTAACCTTTTTATTCATTTAATTTCAACTATCAATTCTCTTTCTAGCTGTCTTACTACATGTTTGCACTGCCCGGTCCTAGGGTATCATGTCTTGTCTGGCCCACTATTACAGGGGAATCTCCTCCCAGTGTGGATTCATTATAGTTTAGTAATTCTGCTAACGTGTTGTAGTGTTAGTAATTAAGCCTTTGAGTCACCTTTGCCTACAGGTCCAGACTCCAGAGTATAATGCCATGATCACATGTCCATGCCATTACCATCCCTTAAGGCACCACCATGGCCTGACCTTCCAGGATTTCCCGAGCTTCATACAATTGAAATCTAGCTTTATGTCATTTTGGTTTGGTGGGGACCAATAAGGTTGTGTACTTTTGATGTGGACAGAAAAACAAATTACATGCAGCACTTCATGCAATTTAGAACAGTTCTGCTACAGTAACAATGGCATCAAGCTGGCCTCCTGCACGGACACGCAGCGATAGAGGGATTGGAAGGTGCCAAAATGGGTTGAATCCTCAAAACCCAAGCTCCCAATACTTGAAAATCCTAGTTGGGGCTGAGCTACATCTCAAACAAGAGAGAAAGAACCAAAAAGACCCCTACAGAAACAACCCCCTTCTCTTTTATAAGACTCAATGGCTTGCTAGAGAAGCCAATTAAAATATTTACAAATGAGCCCCTAGAACGTTTCCCTTTAACAAACAACTCCTTGAAAACAAAGCTAGCTCCAAAAAACCCCCAAAAGATAACTTTTGTTACAAAAAGACCCAAGAGACCAAAACCTAACTGATGTGCACCCAATTTCCCCTGACTAGAATCTGAATTATAAATTGATGAAAGTACCCCTGGACCCAAACTGTCAACAAAGCTACCCAGAAACAACAATTTGGGATCTTGAACAAAAAAACATGCAATATGGAATACATCCACATTTTTTTCTTCTTCTTTTTTTTTTCCTTAGAATTTTGATAACTAGGCTTTTGCAAAATGCTGAAGTGATCGTGTACCTTTGTTCTATTAGGGAACCATCATTAAAGAGAGAAGTTGGACTTTTCTTTTTCATGTTATGGAATATGGGAATGGTTCATCAAATATATTACTTGTTAACCATGGATGGAAAGTATGACTTACAATTAGAACTACCTATCATAAGTTTTCTAGCAAGGAAAATCTGATTGGCACTTCAATCTAAAATCCTTGTTAGTAAGACTATCGGGATGCCACACTTCAGTCTGACACAAGGGCATCCAGTTAAATAAGGTAGCTGGGCAAGCTCTTTAAAGAGCAACTATTGGATTTGGTCCAAGATCCCTGATACTGAAGTTCCATAAGCTGCTACTGTTTGCAATTAGATGCTTTCAAAAGTAAAATGATCCCAAGAGAAACAATTTTAAGGACTCAAGCTAGTCTTATTGCCAAAAAAGAAGTTTAGAGCATTTCTTTGCTCTCTATTTTGGATAACAAAAAGATGTTTCACTGTTTGACTAAGCCAGTGTTCTTTTTTTCATTTTAGATGCTGCCTATTTCTCTTGTGCTTATTTGCAATTGAGTCTTGTATATATGGTTAACAGGCAAGCAAGAGATTGGAACAAAGCTAGCTGAATTTTGTGCTCATGCTCTTTTAGCCTTAGAAGTGCTCATACATCCTCGTTCCCTTCCGCTGGTGGATATTTCATCTCGAAGTCAGGGTGAATTTGTTTCAAGTTTTGACCACAGATTACCAGAAAATTTATTTTCTGTTAGCCAGAAAAACAACAATTGTACATTTCCAGGAGATATATTGGTAATGGATGATCCTGAACTTGATGATGACCTGTATAGTAGCTGGCTGGGGAATGGTGAAGAAACTGATGTCCCAATGAGTGTGCCAGACAAGCAATTGAGAAGTGCTCAAGAACTTTGTGGGAAAGATGTTTGGCAGGCTACAGGAGATTGTCTGGCGGAAAAGATACTTTCTGATTCAACTGGTGCTTTGTTTCTCATGGAAGGTGATGGTGGGGCTACAGGTGCTGCCCATATGGAGATAGGAGGAAATGGTAATGTGATTATGACAGAATCAGAGCAAGTGCAAGAAATTGTTCGAAATAATGATGTTGAGGCACAGGATAAAGACATTGTGATTAGTACTGGTAGTTTTACATTAATTGAAGGAAAACCCAAGAAAGGTAAAGCAGAGAGCAATAGGATATACGCTTCCAAAGTTGCCACAACTATATCTAGTTTTTCTGTCGTCAATGGGATGGATAGCAGTGATCCCGTGGCAGCTGCTGCTACTGCTAAGTCAACTCCAGCTCAAGGTGGTCTTATTACTACATTGATCTCTGAGAAAGGAAGGGGACTTTCTCTTGAGTACAATACTGATGCATCAATGGATTCCTTTCCTGATATTGTTGATGGTGATCCAGATTCTGATTAGCACTGGATTTATAACTTTCACTACGTTTTAATGGGCTTGTAAGGGAAATGATCCCTAAAAGAGTGTAAAGCTAATTTTCCAAAGAGGAAAATGTTGTTCACTTCAAATGCAACCGAGATTTTTTTTATGCATTTATTCTTTGTTGTACCAATTTGCAATTATTCTCAGTTTCATTTGTCTCATGCCTACTTGCTTTATGGTTGTGGAAGCTCCTTGCCAAAGTGACCAAACCACAAAATGGGTTCAAAGTTGAGGCCCATAAATAAATAATTCGTTCAAGCCTAGGGGTTTCCCTGTTTTCGGCAGTTAATTTTGTACTCTGTCCCTCTTGTAGCAAGGCTGTAAGCCTCACCTTTATGTTTCCCTTTTTCGGGGTACAGGACGACTGTTTGGCTAACAAGATGAGGGAGGACATGCCCATTGAAATCGTCAGAAAGGATCTGAAAAAGATTTAGAGATGGCGAATTCACACAGGATTGTGGTCCGTTGTATTCATATTCCATCTCAAGGATGTGCTAAAACTGGAACGACTTGAAATCCAGAGTATTTGGCGGATGTTATTGACTGATTTGATTATTGTCTACTTCTGCAGTATTTTTCTGATGGCCTTCTATGACAACTTTGGAATCTGCCTGTAGATGGAGCTTCATCATTCTTATGTTCTTTGTCCGGTAAACATCTTTGAACTCTGCCCATCCTTAGGCAATGCTGACTGAGCAGTTTCCTACGTCATGGGCTGAAATCACCTTGCAGCTCTGAAGATCATACCTATGGCTGCAATTTCTGGTTTAGGTCAAACTATTACTTAGTAATTCATAAGAATCCATCTGTCGGGTTTATTCGGTTATTCCACTCAACTAGAATGTTTCTTTCAATTTCTATCGCTTCTCCAGTGGTTTATGGTAATTGCAAACCAGTTTAGACCGTGCATCCAGAACTCCTTCCCTTTTTCGCTTTCCTCTAAACTGTGTTTGATTGCAGTAAAAATTTGTGCTTATATAAATGCATGGAAGTGCAAATGGGCGGTGTGTAAATTAAATCTAGTTTACTAGATTTGACAATATTTTTTTTTGGCTTCATGGGGCTACACAACAGGGGTAGCCCATCCCCTTTCCCTTAACCCCCCCAACCCCTGGTGGCAGCGGGATTTGATCCCAGGTCTCTATTCCAACAAGTCAAAGAACCTACCAACTGAGCCACCATCAGTTGGCTAGATTTGACAATATCGATGAACTGAAACCGACCCAACAGTTCTGAAAACCAATCATATTGGATCAGTTCAGGCCAGTTTGGTTGTGATGTAACCGGTTCCGATCATGTATCATTTTTTCGTGATGTATCAATTTTTTGGCCAAGTACCTTATCATCTCGTCTGTTCCCATGTGGTTGGTGACTCAGAGGCTGAAGTGGAGCTCCCTGGTGGCGAGCTACCTAGTGGCGAACTGCCTGGTACCGAGCTGCCTGGTGGTGAGCTACCTTGATGAGCTGCCTAGAGGTGAGCTACCTTGATGAGCTACTTGGAGGTGAGCTACCTTGATGAACTGCCTAGGGGTGAACTACCTTGATGAGCTGCCTGGAGGTGAGCTACCTTGATGGGCTTTGTTGCTCTTTTAGAGGCTTGCAAGGAGCCAGATGTTAGAGGACCCGAGGGTGTTTACCCGGTGAGGTCACTCCGATGGCTAAGTTAGCACTTAGTGGAGAGCTGAAAATGATATTAGAGAATGAGAGAGCTAGAGAGCAGAGGTAAACCATCTTCTTCTTGCATCATTCCTTCGCCCTTGGGGGGTGAGGTCCTTATATATTGGAGTCCTCGTGGGTTAGGTGGAGTAGTTCCTGGATTCCCGCTGTGGAGTAGGTCCTTATATATCAAGGTAGCCCATCTGGCCCCTCCCCAAACCCCGGTGCCTGGTGGCAGCGAGATTTTTTATCTTAGGTCCCTGGGAGATTGGGACTGATAAGCCACCTCCAAGACATTTGGTGAAGGAACGATCCACTTCTTGGAAAATCAGATGCCCCCCCAAAAGTTAAAACTGTTAATTTGGAGACTCTAGATTTTATCTTTTGAATAGAGGCACTTTGAATAACGCAACCTGCTCCCTTTGTGATCAGTATGTGGAAAACTCCCTACATTTGTAAGAGATGTCCTCTTTGTTAGTCCATGGACGATAATTTTTCCTCGTAATCTCTGCTTCTTTCTTGAAGTCCTTTCTTTTTTGGCTCACAAAATCAATATCAAAATTCTATTCAATCAAGTCTTGTCCTGGATTGCTACAGCCTGATATTTCATTTGGCAGCTAACAAGGAGCAATGTTATATTTCCGAATGTGTTTAAGGATGCGTCGTGGGTCCTTGGGCAAATCCAGATATGTTTCCAAGGTTACAACAATGCAGATAATCAAAACAAACAAGAACATTGTTTTTTCTCTCTCTCTCTTGCCTGCATCAATTTGCAAATCAATTCCATTTAAGATAAAATCACTATAATCTATGATGGAGGCTTCAGTCTAGTGAACCAAGGATCTTAGGCTGTGTTTGTTGCAGTGCAAATTTATTTGCACTAGTACAAATGCATGGGAGTGGAAATGTAAAAAAGAATGTAAATTCTTGTTTAATTTTATTTTGAATTTTACTTTATTCTGTGTCATATCTTAATTTACTTCATTTATATTGCAATCAAATAAAATAAACTAAAACTTGAAATAAAAGTAGGTCAAAATTTACACTCAAATCATTTGCACTGCCGTGATTTTGTATCAGTGCAAATTTATTTGCATTGCAACCAAGCACAGCTTATGATTTAGTCATTTTAGACTGTAACTCAAAATTTCTCTCTGCTGATGGTAATAAAAGTAATTCTGTTTGCAGCCCTTTGTAAGCTGAATGCATATCAGTCGAGAAAAGTCTTCTTTTTGCAAAGTCGATTGGGTGGTCCTGTTTAATCATCAGCACAGATGCAAAGCCCCTAGTAGAACCTTTGAATGGATATCTGGAGTTTTTTCATCTTATTTTATTTATTTTTTGTTTTGTTTGACACCTCGAGTTTTTTTACAACTCTTTGACTAATCATCTTAAAAGCATTAAAAACTTATCTTCAGAATTTTTATCTATAAGTATTTATTATAGGAACAGGGAACTTATCTTGGCTGCCCACTCTGTGGCCAGTAGGGATGCAAACAGATTGGATTGGATTTGAATCAAAATTCAATTTAATACTGTTCATGTAGATCGGATCTGATAGGATTCAAATTCAGTAAGTCAAATCTTTGGATTTGATTTGATCCAACTTGTTTTTTTTTAAATTAATAAATTATTAAAAGAAAAATAAAATATAAATGTTTTTTTAATTATTTTCATCATATATATACATATTTTTTATAAAAAATAAATAATATAACAAATTTATAAAAGTATATTTATAACTAAATAAATAAATAAATAGCATATATATGTGTAATATATTTATATTTATAAATATATAATATATATTGGATTGAATCTTCTCAAATCGAATAGAGGGTGATCCAAATCCGATTCAAAGATCCAAACAGGAGTGTTTCGAATTCGACAAAATAGGGATCCGATCCATTTAAACCCCTAGGCCCAAGAGGCCAAAAGTTCTGAGATTTTTTGGTATATTGGAAAAAACGGGTCTGAGATTTTTTTCATTGTTTTTTTTATTTTTAATTATTTTGACAAAGATAATAAAATAATGGATAATTTTTATCTAACGGAATAAAAACGTTTGGATGAAAGGCACATTAACTGGGAAATGTGCCACACAGCTATTATGTGCTCACTCATTGTGCTTACCTAACGTGCCTACTACATCCAGACCCGGGAAAAACACTCCTGGACGGACTCAACTATTTTTGCTCTTTCTTAATATAAATCAACTTTCATCCAAAAAAAAATCAGAATCTAACGTTAAATATTTGGATAAATTACAGATTGCTATCTGTACTTTGGGGGTGGTGACATTTAAATCCCAACTTTTATTTTGTGACAAAGCCCCCTAAACTTTCAGTTTCCGACATTTTGTCCCTTCCATTACAATTCTATCACATTTTAACACATGTAGTTGTCATGTACCTTTTCAACATTTATAAATCTTCAAACTAACGTTTTCGTAAATATTGAGACCATCTTAATGTTTAATTTACTTATTTGTTTAAACCTTTTTTGTTTGGTTTAAAAAAAATTAAACCGTAATTTACTAATTTGATCTAAGATCTTCTCTAAATTGGATCAATCAGATTGGAACACCTATCTATTATAAATACGTGACACACAAAAAGGGGTGTCTAGAGAAGGGGTGCAACTTTCCTCCCTTGGTTAAGAATGGGAAAGAGGAAGAGATTGGGGTTAGAATTATTTGTTTTCCCATCATTACCCCCTTTACAAATTACAATTAAAGAAATTGCCTATTATATCAATTAGGGGTGCAAATGGATCAGATCCCGGTCCAATCTTATTTGGATCACCCCCTATTCAGATCTTTGGATCAGATCAGATAATAGGATCCGATCACAAATTGGATCGAATTGGATCACCCCTATCCGATCCAAGAAGATTTGATCTGATATATATTATATATTTATGAATATAAATATATATGTTATTTATTTATTTATAAATATATTTTTATAAATTTATTATATTATTTATTTTTTTATAAAAAATGTATACATATGATGAAAATAACTAAAAAATACTTGTATATTTTGTTTTTTTCTTTATTTAAATTAGTATACTTTAATTTTTTTTAATAATTTATTAATTTTTAAAGAAAATAAGTCGGATAGGATCAGATTCGAAGATCCAACTTACCAATAGGATTCAAATTCAAATTGAGTCCTATAAGATCCGATCGAATATTTGGATCGGATCCGACATGAACAATATCAGATCGAAATCGAATATACCCTGATTCGAATCCAATTCGATCCATTTGTATCCCTAATATCAATGATTAATAATCAGCTTGGACATCTATCGGATCAAATTAGATTATATCCAAATTCATTCTAGTAAATTATTGGCTTCAAAAGAAGGGAAAAAAACCAATCTTGTGAATTAAGTGGTAAAATACCAATATCCAAATTTCATTGATACTCATACTTGGATTATGCAAGTTCGATTTGATAATGCTGAATTTGGATTTTTGGATGCCATTTACACCCCTGGTGGGGTTGTTAAGGGTGCCAGTTGGGCTGGGTTAGGTAACGTTGGTAACCCATTATGAACTATTTAAACGCCCAAACTATGACTCTACACCAAATTTGGATTGCCCGGTAGCCCCAACTTCTCTACTTTCTTTTGCCAATTTTCTTATTTCCTAAAGGATTGAGTTCATTCAATTTTAGCATTGTTATATTTAAATGGACATAATTGTCATGCTTTAGAAAAAAATTGCATTTAAACCTAGAGTTATTGACATGAAAACATACATACATATATCATATATAATTATGTACATATAGATATCGATAACATACATACATATAGACTTGTTCATGGGCCGGACTGCTTGAGCTCTTTATAAATAGAAAATGAGTATACCCAAGCCTGAGCTCTTTAAAGAGCATATAAATATATATACATACATATAGAAAATGAACATACCCAAGCCTGATTTGGACAAATATTATAATATATAATACTTTTTTGCTCTTAATTTTGTTATTATATATTATTACTATATTTATATCTTTTATTATATATAATATTATTTAGCTAGGCTTATTTGAGAAAGCTTTAGCCGGGCCCAAAATAATAATTGGACCCAATGTTCAGAGCCAAGCCAACAATCTTAAAAATGTGTCCAAGACTGACATAGAATAGATTAAACCAGACCAGCCCGTCAAGCTACCCAACTCATGAACAAGTATACCTAGCAATATATTAGAAAGATATACACACATATAGAAAGGAACATATATATCCTTTGGCACCTATGGAAGAATAGAAACAAGAGTACTTTCACTACCGTGACTGATCCCCCTCAACTCCAGTTGTTCTTAAAAGAGCAATTGGGGCCCATTTGGAATTTGTAAATAATTCCAAAGGGAAAGAAAATGAAAGATTAATTTTGATGCCTCTTGTAGTGGTGGAGAGGTGTCCTTGATAGTTTGCATTGCTAGGAATCACTTTGACGAGAGGTAGTGGATCTTAAAGCTTACTTCCCTGGACTTACTACCATCAATTTGGTTGAGGCTTGGGCAGCATAGGAAGTTCATAATGTGGCAATGAACTTCAAGGACCAATTGAAGGTGACTCAAAGCTGGTGATTTCAGGTCTACAACAGTAACTCAATCCACGAGTCTGTTTCCTATAACCTTAATGACCTCCCTTGGTCGCTCTCTTTTATTTGTTATAGTGGTTGCTGGGGACGTGCTACCCCGTCTTGTGTAGCTCCCTTTTGTAATTATCAAAAAACAAATGATTAATAAATATTTGGAATAAAAAATAGGGACAATTTTCAAGTAGTACCCTGTACTTTGGCTTGGGTGACAATTTGGTCCCCGAACTTTAAAATGCAACAATCTAATACCCGAATTTTTGAAACACGACACTCTATCTACCGTTAATCAACCGTTAAGAGAGAGAAGTTAGGTGAGAGGGAGAGGGTGTTGTATGAAGCTTAAAAGTTAAAGTTAATGGGAGCGGAAGAAGAGGCGGGTAATTGCAACGACAACAACCACTATCATTTTCCTTGGTCTTCACTGCACACCCGTCAGCCAGCCTGACTTGGCATTGGTGGTAGTCTTTATTTTAGTACTGGTTACCAATCTTTTCAGCTCCGTAGCTCTACCCAAAGCTCACAGGTACTGGAATAATCCTTTTACCTTTCTCTGTTTCTTTCGTTGTAGGTGCCTCTGGTAAGCTTGGAGAGAGTACAACTGAAATTGCTACAATGTTTATTTGTTAGTTTAAAAATGATGTCTTTTCTTGGTAAAGAGGAAAAATAGTTTTGGATTTTTAGAGGCCGAGGATGTGGGGATTTTTAAGTGGAATGTAGAGAACCGAAAAAAAAGCGTGGTATGGGCATTGGATAGGTTTTCAGAGTGCAATTTGTACTTTCATTTCCTTTTGGCTTGATGAATTCTTCATTCGATCGAAATGTTGGATGGCTGAGAGTAGTGGAAGCCATGAGGCATTAAGTTATAGTGAGACTTCTTTGACGTGCAAGACAGAAGTTACCCTTTGTTCGTCATTTTGAGTATGGAATTATGGACAGATGAGTGGATATGAAGATGGCTCCGAGATTTTTTGCAGCTTTGAGATTCTTGGAGTCTATTTATTCCACCTAGAGTTTGGAAAACTCGATTCAGAGCATTGCTTATGTTTCTCCTGTAAGCCCGTATTGCTAGTTGATTATGCTGATTAATTTTTGGTTAAGATTGTTAGCCCACATCAGGTAAGGTCTGGTTCTGGTATGGATTGTTTTGTCTCCATTCATGGTCGCCACAATAACTCTTGATGCATCATGGTTCATTAATCATGGCTGCACATTGGCACAAGTTTCAGTGTTAAGAGATGGTAAAGATCACTTGAGCCTTAAGGTGATAAGGAACGACCGGTACCATTTTATTGATGAAGAAGATGATGAACAATATGTTTTATATTCAAGGGTAATTTTGATATTTTTAAAAGTTTTAAATCGCACATGAAGTCACGCGATATACATAATTGACGGTCCATTAACAGTAGATACTAGATTGTCACATTTTGAAAGTTCGAGTATTGGATTATTGCATTTTAAAGTTCGGGGACCAAATTATCACTTGAGCCAAAGTACAGGGTATTGATTGGGAATTTTCCCTAACACGTATTTGGAGTTAAATATTAGGGTTTGTTCATTTCTTCTTAACTCTTATCTCTTAGGCCTCATTTGTTTTTCGGTAAGTTACTTACCCAGGTAAATGCAATTACCTGGGTAAGTGCATTTACCCATGTTCTTTTATTTCCTAGGTAAATAAGGTAATGGCCATTTTAGCCTTAAAAATCCATTATTAAAAGGGACATTTTTGTCCCATTCAAGTGTTAGCAACTTTCCCCTTAGGTGAAAAAATTATTTACCCACTTAGGAGATAAGTACCCAGGAAAGTAAACTTTCCCTGGTCTCCACATAAATATGAAAAATGAACATGGAATTCTTGGTCAATGGGAACCAAAATCCCATTGACCAACTTCCCCCCCCCTCTCAAAATCCAAGAAAAGAACATTCCCTTAAGAGGAATCTTTTAACTTTAACAGAAAAATGGTTGCTCATGTCTTTTTATCTCTTATTCCTTAACTTTTTGTTTTCCAATGATACTCCCAAAAAGACAAACAAAAACTCTTATATATGGGGTCAAAATGGATATTTGATAATTTTCAAAATCTAGAAATTCAGAACAACATTCTTTGCATTCAGAATTCGTAGAAAAGAAAAGTTCATCAATACCAATATACCTCTTAATGTAATTATTGCACTTTCAAATGTTCGACTTCAGAGCAAATGAACAAACCCTTACTCTATGCAATATAAAGGAGATGAGCCTAATTTTTAAGATTCCCCGAGGTCGAACCCAGGTATAATTTATGCCTTCTCTATTCATTACAGCCCAAATTTACACATTTATCACCATACTCAGAAAAATTTCATAGCTCAAATTACTGAATTAGGGGCATAGATGTTTAGGCTGTGTTTGGTTGTAATGCAAATAAATTTGCACTGATACAAAATTATGGCAGTACAAATGATTTGAATGTAAATTCTGACCTATTTTGTTTTAAATTTTAGCTTATTTTGTTTGATTGCATTATAAATGAAGTAAATTAAGACATGAAAAAAAATAAAATAAAATAAAATCCAAAACAAAATTAAACAAAAATTTACATTTTTTACATTTGCACTTCTATGCATTTGTACTAATACAAATAAAGCACTTCAACCAAACACAGCCTTAGTGACATAGATCATGTTTATTTTATTTATTGGATTCAACATTTCAGTCGGTCAAAAAAATGGGTGCATTGCAGGTCTATTTATTAAAAAAGCCCGAACCCGGCCCATTAACTATTCAACATGTAAGTCTGTAACCCTAGCCTGCTGGTTGCAAATGAAGTTTTAGGGTTTAGTGCTAGTATATAATGAATGCCTTCACTTCCATCGTCTAGTTGGTCCACTTATTGTTCTCCTCTCCCCCGCGACATCAGAAGGGGAAAAGTGACGACGGAGCAATGGTTCACGTTAGTTTTTATAGAAACTGTAAGCTTCCCACTCTCCCACGTATTTTTTCCGTTTCTTTCACTAATCTATTATGCTTGTTGGTCATGATTTGATCTGATATGATATGGTTGTAATGTTCTCTACCAATTCTCACTTATTTGATCTTGACATTTCTTTTCAAGTTTAAATCATCTTGTCTGAAATGTTAGAGGAACACGAGTTAATTTCCATACGGGATCGTTTGCGTTTTTATGAATTGATCCCTGTTGGAGCTTTGATGTGAATATTGGTACTGAATATTTTCAGATGGGAAGACTTTCAAGAAACCTCGTCGTCCGTACGAGAAAGAGCGTTTGGATGCCGAGTTGAAGCTCGTCGGAGAGTATGGGCTCCGATGTAAGAGGGAGTTGTGGAGGGTTCAGTACGCTCTGAGCCGCATCCGTAATAACGCGAGAATGCTTCTCACTCTCGATGAGAAGAATCCTCGTCGGATATTTGAAGGTGAAGCCCTTCTTCGCAGGATGAACAGGTACGGTCTTTTGGATGAGAGCCAGAACAAGCTCGATTACGTATTGGCCTTAACTGTGGAGAACTTCCTCGAGCGCCGTCTCCAGACTCTTGTGTTCAAGTCTGGAATGGCAAAGTCAATTCACCATGCCCGAGTGCTAATTAGGCAGAGACATATCAGGTATAAATTACATTCTATTGCGGCTTAGAAAGAATGTTACGTTTTCTTATACTAGGCGTGATTTTCATGTGTTGAGGCTTGAGAATATCGAAAGACACCTGGAATACAAAATTTACCTTTACTTAGGTTGTATAGACATCACTGGAAGAAAAGCCCTGGTGTCTACATATTTGGTATTATCTTTGTTATTTATTTATTAATAACTAATAAGAAAATAAATGTACATTATCGAATTGTTTAAGATAGCGATTTTCTCCATATAATTGATGCGATGCAAATTTAAGTAGTAGGGAACCTGAGTGAGGGTAGAAAAAAGAAAGAGGTAGTTGGACCTTTCTCCTGGATTGCCGGGAATTTAGTAGACCTTGTAGAGATACTGAGGTAACTCCTTGAATAGCACTTCCTGAATGTAGGTAAAAGTGTTGTTGCATGTAACTGAAGAATCCCAATATGAGTTTCGAGTTGTATTAGTGTTATCAGTGTGGTGAAGTGATGACTAGTCTTAGGCCTCTCTAGTTGATGGCTTGATGCCATAAGAAAGGACCCATTCTAAATTTAAGATATTGATGTAACCTCATATACAAGTTAATACAAGCTACAATTGTTGCACGAAAAGTATGGTATTAGATATTTAGTTTGACCTTTATCTTTCAAGCAGAGAAGAAAGTTTCTAAAAATGATTAATCTTGCTGTGGAAAAACTGTGATTATTTGATGTGCTGTTCGTTTGTGGTGACTCCATACCAACAGACCACTCATTGGAAGAAAATTTGAAAGGACTCCATTGCCTTCTTTTATTTTATGCTTTTTTTTTGCTATTTTATGTATCATCGCCCAATCATGGTCCACCACAAATATTTAATGCAATAGCATGAAATGTCCAAAAAAATGAGTGTGGAAGAAATGTGTATGCTGAGGTGGATGAGTGGAAATCCTAGAAGGATGAGATCAGAAATTAAGCCATTCTTAAGAACCTAGGAGTATCTCCAATGGGTGATAAAAATGAAAGAAAGCATAGAAGACCATCAACAGCACCTATAAGAAGTGGTTTGTTACATGTTGAAAGGGTTAGAATAGAAAAATGGGAAGGCCAAAACTGGACATAGGTTGAAATAGTAAGAAATGATTTAAGCACCAATAATTTGACAATGGATATGGCGTTAAACAGAACAGACTAGTGAAACGGGATTCATGTAGCTGACCCCATATTCGTTGGGATAAGGGTTGGTTGATGATGCAAGCTTCTGTTTGACATTGATTAGTTGAGCTAGTTAATGCTTAGTAGTCCTAGGCGATCACATAGTTGGGAATCAACTGACTAGTTAGTCATGCAGTTGCTTTGATAACACTGATTCCAGGCTTCTAATTACTTTTATCACTTACAAAATAATACAGGGTTCTATTAGCAGAACTGGTAACACAAAATTATTAACAACAGATAATGTTCATTTTGTTTATTCTTTTGTACTCAATGCTAAATGATAAGACAGATTAAAATTTATTTTCTCAGATAGATTTATCTTTTGATGTCAATTTAAATGGGCCAAAGGAATGTCTTAAGTGATTAGTAACTGAGCTTAGTGAGTATTTTCATGAGTTAAAAACAGTTATTATGACTTATGAACTGGTTGAATTCAACTATGCTCATAACTTTTTTTTTTTGCTTTGAATACATATTAATTTAATAATCTTGATAAATATGTCCAAGATTAATTGTGCCAATGTGAGCTTGTCTTACACAGCTGGTCCTAAGCATAGATAAACGAGGGTTGAGTGTTGTGCTAGGAAGTGTATGGTTCTAGCATAGGTTTTTTTATGGATAACATATTACATTTTATTGGTTGTGAGAAAAGAATGGATATATACAAACTGTGCCTAGCACCCCAAAAGAAGGATAGCTACACTGCCTGAGCCACATGCAAATAACTGTTATGGTTTAAATTAAGAAGCCCATTTGTACCCCAGAGGAGCTGTTGTCTATTCATTCACTTCTTTGCCAAATTGTCTGCAAATTCTGTTGGCAACTCTAGACTCCTCAAATTCCATGATGATGTACCCCAGAGGAGCTGTTGTCTATTCATTCACTTCTTTGCTAAATTGTCTGCAAATTCTGTTGGCAACTCTAGACTCCTCAAATTCCATGATGATGTCCTTCCCCAAATCTTTATTTCCCTCGTATGTTTTCAGAACTGCTATGTTACAAAGTTATCATTTCTAAGCCAGCACAGCACCACTTTAGAATCACCTTCCACAATTAAATTGCCAAATCCAAGTGATATTGCCAATCTCAAGGTTCTAGCACAGTATCACCTTTTCAGGGTCATTGGAATGCTACTATGCTAGATGCTGAGAATTGGGGCCTTTTCGTAGGTTAAACATTAATACCTATCGTAACTTATCTATTTATGAATTTCAAACGGAAAAAAACAAGAGTATCAATTGTTGAAATCTCTGCATACTCGATTTGTGTATCCAAACTATTGATACTTTGAATGATGGTTAAATTATGGGTTTAAACAAAGACAGCTAGGATGAACCAAAAGAGTAAAAAGAAAATGGGATGGTGATTTTGTTCAGGATTTCGAGTGGTTCATACTATTGGTACTTTGTATGAAGGTTAAATGATGGGTTAAACAAAGACAGCTAGGATGAACCAAAAGAGTAAAAAGAAAATGGAATGGTGATTTTGTTCAGGATCTCCAGTGATTTATACTTTCATTAGGCATTTAATATGATCTTTCAACATATGCTATTTTCTGTTACTATCATTTGACCTACCTAGATATTGAGTGCAAGGATGTTTTTTAACGCTGGTCAATGTTCTTTACTTTCTGTCAGAATTGGGATGGATCAGTGATATTGTAGTTGTCTTGATCATTTCTCTTTCATCCATTGTTGCATAAAATCTCCTAAGTGGGTTAAGTTTCCTGCTGAACATGTGTCAAATTCCAATACTTAATGCGTTTTTCTTGATATTTTAACATAACATTTTCTGTTATCTACTGCTCATTTGACACATATGAATGGCTAATATACACAAGGAATGTCATTTTTATTGGAAACCATTATTAAATAACGAAATTAAAGTTCTAAATGTGTTCTGTGACACATGGATGTCATGTGGTATTTGAATGTATTTAGTGTGACATGTGCCAGATGGCAACATAGATGAATGGCATGTGGTAGCCCATACGGATGCCATGTGGCAGCATATATGGATTCCATGGCATTCACATGTGTGCAGTATAATGTTGTGTTCAAATGCCATGTAGAAAGTAGCAATAGAACACGGAGCATAGCGGGTTAATTGTTTATGCTTTCTATAGATGTTCAACAAATCCTTGGTTTGCCTTCTCGTTGAGTCAGACTCGTGGACATTGTCAGAATATTAGGGAGACTTTCCCTAATTGTTTCTGCACCCATTTAATAACATTTTCTGTTGTTTATTTCTTATATAATAACATGTTCCAGCGTAAAGCCAGGTTCCTTGAAATATATTGTGAAGGGATTTCAGTCATTTTATGACTTTTTTTTATAATATTCTGGGAAATCATTCAAATTTTATTGCTATTTTTTTCTTCCGCTGCAGGGTTGGAAGGCAGGTGGTTAACATTCCATCTTTCATGGTGAGGGTGGACTCGCAGAAGCATATTGATTTCTCTCTCACTAGTCCTCTTGGAGGTGGTCGCCCTGGAAGAGTGAAGCGAAAGAACCAGAAGGCCGCTGCCAAGAAGGCTGCTGGAGGAGATGGAGATGAAGAGGATGAAGATTGAGCCTCATCTCTTGCTTGCCGCCTTTCCTCTTTTATAATTATTTTTATTCTCTCATCTCCAGTTAGATTTGTTGTTTGGGAACGTTGAGGTCTAGAAGTCATAAATTTTGATGATTTTCTTGTCATATAACTTATTGGTTGCTACTCTTTTAAGGGTTATGACTTGTTTCTGAAGAGCATCATTTGTTGTTAACTTGCTTTAAATTTCAAACGGTTATGGTTTTCAAGTTTAGACAGGTATATATTTGCTAACTGCAATTCCTATTCTTGTTTGGTATGTGGACTTGTGGCAGAGGTCAAACTGCCCTGCTCTGGCTCATGAATGAAGTCATGATGCCCATGCATTCTAATCGAGCTTTCAATTTCAGTAGACTAGTTCATCGGGATTAACTTGGTTGCTAGGCTAGATCTGGATGGAGGTGGTGTGGATGAGTGCTTTCTGTTTCGCTTGATACTGTTTATATTTTATACTTGTTACCAATGACCTGGTATAGTGGATTAACTGAATCAAGGTTCAAAATATCGATCAGTATTGGCCTGTATTGACTGACCGGTCTACCATTCTTTTTTGCATTTTTGTATGGTCCAGTGATCTCGCATAAATTGCTACGTCTTTCCGGTGTCTTTGGTGTACGATGCACCTATAAAGTTCATTGATCCCTTATAGATGGGAAATTAAGAGTGTTTTCCCATCAAGTCACTTGTAGTCTAACATAGCGAAAGGGATAGCCATGTGGCAGATCATTAGTTATCTGGCTGGAAGCCTGGAATACGAAAGATCATTCAGGTGAATCGTCATATTTCCTAACACTAGTAGAATGGCCCGGGGTATTTGAACCAATAATTGATTAACCACAATAAGTATTGGGGTCTTCATTCAGCCTCAACACCTCAATGTGTATCAAGTTGGTAAGGAGGTTGAGTGGACTTCCCGTCAGGAAATCTCTGATTGGTTCGTTTGAAGATTTATTATTGTCTAATTGATTGTCATCCGGCAAACTCAGGTTAATATCTATACTTGCAACTCAAGAGTTTGTATAGTGTAGACTATTCCTCGTAAACAATTGAACCAGTGTTAGTAACTGTGCAAAGTACAATAATAAGCAAATATATATGTGAATTATTCAAATTTTTGATAGGTTAAAGGATTGCATTGGACAGAGATCAGGACGTGGGTATCTTTTCCAGTTTTCTTAGCAAAAACCTATGCAAAATGAAAGAGAAGTACTAATAAAGTTCCTACAAGGAATTGACAGTTGATTGGACCTAACATTGAGTAGTTTCATATGGGTTTGAGCATATCTAGTTAGCTTCATTTACATACAGCCTAAGATATCAACTACAAGTTTGAAAATGATGATATAATCATAATGAAATATAAATGAATGTGCAAATATTTTAGACAATATGAATTCATACTGCACAAATTTCAAAAAAAGAAATAATCAAATCTTGCTGCAATAAATATAAAAATAATGGAATATAGTAGGAAATTTATGGGGAGATACAAATGAATAGTGAATTCCTTGGGGAGTCTAAATTAAGAAAGTTTGTAACCAAAATACAAAGACGGCATTAGTGTATCATATAAAAAAATATAAAACAATGTTTTTTAGATATATGCTAAATAGGATAGAATATACCTTGCTTTCTACTTGAAATCACTGATATGAAAGTCTACTTATTCCATACTTTTATTACTTGTATCAGGGTTTCATTGAATTGAAAATAGAACTGGGGCAAGAAATCCACCTAGCAAGAAATGTTTTAGACTATTTGGAATTTGCAGAAAAAAAAAGTTAAAAAAAAAACTGATGAACTACTATAAGGAATTGACAGCTAATTGGACCTAAGATTAAGTAGTTTCATATGGGTTTGGGTATATCTAGTTAAGTTTCATTAATTAACAATAAATTCTGACATATTTTAATAAATATTCACAGAGAAAAGTTGTACTTGAATTGACAAAGTCAACACTTCAGAGAGGTGAATCTTGGATATAATTGTTGACATGACCATCTTTGTTGGGGGATGGTAGAAATAATCCTCTAAATCTTACTTGCATATCTTAACAAATAGTTCTCTAAATGCTTCATGTTTTCAGAACTTTCAGCTATCTCTAAATAACAGTTTCAATCACTTCATTTTGTTTACCTTCAAATTCTGATAAAAGGTCAATTTGTTTGAGCTGGTGTTCCAAAAGTAGCTATGTGAATTAGTAAATGTTACATTTGAGTGAAGCAGTTGATCTATTCAACTCTGATGAATAGAAAAGCAGTTTAACTTGCTTACTTTTAAGTGTAGCTCAAAGAATTCTTTTGCTGTTTTATGATAAATAGAAAAATTGAGATGCTAATTCCTAGGTTATTTTTATCTTATCCCTATTTTTTTTCGGATCCATTCCACATCAACTATGATGAATAGAAAAGTAGTAAAACGCCCTCTGTTACTTTCCTCTTGTTCGTTTTTTAGCACCCCCCCCCCAAAACAAAAAAAAAAAAAACCATTCATCCAATAGAGAAGAGAAACTTCTGTTCACCAATGCTAATATCAGGGTGTTTGCCCAATCGGACAACCCGGCATTTGCAACTATGCAGGGGTGAGAATGGGACAAAAACGCATTTGTTATTTGGCCCCACTCTCATTTCCAATTTTCAGGGGTAATATTGAAATTGTATATCAGAGTGTTAGGCCATTGTACTTGCCCCACTTTGATGAACAGCGTACGGGCTTATGGTAGTTAAATACTGGGAAAACGAAAAATATAGAGAATAAAAAGGGAAAGTAAAATCGGGTTTTTTGACACAACAATTAATATCATCCTTATTTTTATAAATGGTATCGGGTGTATGGTATTGTTACTTGTTAGAGTCCTGTACTCCTGTTAACCGAAATAAAAAACATATTGGATTTTTGGCAATTTCAGGTGGCTAGGCCTAAGAGGCTAAGATCGATCCCCTGTAGATTTTTAAACAAAAAAATAAAATAAAAATAAAGGCTTGCATACTTTGAATTGAAAACACTTGATACAAGATGTTCATGCGAAATATTATCGAGAAAAAACAAGATTTTGAACTTTGACTCTGTCCATTGAAATGTTGTAAATAAAACAGATTTAAAACAGTTCATTGAAGTTTTTTAATATAGTGGAAATGTGGAATCATCAAGTTTTGGTCAGTCCTCATATTTTTCGAATGGCATGTCAAAGCTAGGTCACCATTTAATTTGCCTACATTAGGCCATTGGTGGCCGCGGGTGAACCAGTCATTATTAATGAGTCATGAATCAGGATCACTTTTGCTTGATTTTCCAGACCTACCTGGACGGAACCACATTATTCACATACACTATCTACTACGAGAGATTATTTGCATTTAACATGAATCTGTGAAGTGAATTGATTATATCTATGCATTGTAACTATCAAATGTATGGTCAGAACAATTGGACTTGAGAGTTTAATAAGATTGGCGTGCATGGGTTGGGTTAGTTGGGATTGAACGGGTTGGTGGGGTTTAAAGTAATTTATGTATAAATTTTTATATAGTCATCTTTTATTGAGTTTTATGGCCTAAGAGTAGAATTGAATGAAAATATATTTATAAATTACATATATATTTATATGTATATATATAATTAGTAAAAAGATATTTTATATGAATATAATATACACGTGTATGTAATTTTTTGGATAAACTCGGATTGGGTCGGGCCAGGCTTGGACTACCCAAGGCCTCAATCCAAATTTAGGTCAAGCCTGAAAACTCAGGTCCAACCCATGCAAAAACAAAGATCATCTTTACACGAAATATTGGCCATTTGCCCCTACAAACGGATAGGATCAAATTGGATATAGGTAGACCCAAATTTGATTCATTTATATTCAAATTTGAATTATAATTGAATATTAAATGGTATAAATAAGTCAAGCTAGAAATGATCAAAATGTTATATATTATTAGCAAAATGAACTAAGAAATGACTTTAATATTATATTTTATAAACAAAATGAATTGAAAATTAATTGTATAAAACTTGAACCTATGAACATTCAATAAAAATACAACATTCAAACCAACTCCAATGATAGATATAATATAAATTTTAAGTATATATGAGCATCTATATTTAAATCGAATGGAAATATGGAATCTGATTATATCAGATCAAATATGGGTAGATCTATATTTGATCCAATTACAAATGGATCAAATTCGGATCACCCTTAATAGTATGTAATTTGAATTCAAATTTGAATAATCAAATACCATTTGCAGCCCTACCTGATCTGCTGGGTACTTAGTAGTGGAATCCTTTTGTTGGATCTCTAATAATAATTCACCTTTACAAATAGTGTTTTATCAGGTTGAAGAACAAGAAACCCTGTAACTTATGCATTCTTTTTTGGGGGTCATTTACTAAAACACCCCTTATAGTTTTATATATTTATTAAAATCTACCTTATAATTTATATTTTGCAACTGATTTACTTAATCAACCTTTTGTCAATAATCTTTTATATTGCCATCAGAAAAGCACATATACTGAGTGGAAAATGTTTAAGGGATTGGGCCTATAGTATTTAAGTACCCCTAGCACTTCATTTCGAGCTTTTAAAATGAACCAATGTTTGATTTTCAGATCTATCACACATTGTTTGGTTTAATAAGAATGAAGAAGAAGATAGAACAATGCATCCCAAGCTATTAGTTTGCAATAGCATGTCCTCATTCTTCAAATAAAGAAAAAAATTGATGAAAAAGAGTTGTTGCCCATGTTTTACTAGGGGCAAGAATGACATTTCCATTTATATTTTATGTTGATTAAATTGGTCCCAAAAGATACTAAAAATACAAATATGTAAAAAACAAATAGATACAAAATAATACAAAATATCAAGTTTTGCACTCTGCATATTTGTATTTATACTCCTTGCAAATTGAGCCTATGATCAAAACTGTCATTTTCCACTTCAATGTAATGAAAGGTTGATTAAGTAAATCAGTTATGAACTATAAGGGTGTTTTAGTAAAACACAAATCATAGGGCAAATTTTTGTAAATCCATTAGACTATGTAGTGATAAGTGAGGGAGAGAGGCAGGGAGCAGAACATGTTTAATGGTGATTGGATTTGGTAAACCATTGTATAAGTTTTGCTTGTAGCATATCCAGAGTCACCAGTTATCCTCTAGATAAAATTTAGGGAAAATTCTTGATTAGTACCCTATACTTTGTGTCTAGTGCCAAACTT